TGTACATTAAACATCATATCAATACAATAAATAAGTAAACAATTTTTTCTTCTTACATAGAGAAGTGACATTTTCATAACTTCAGCATGGAAAGTATATGTTTTTGAAACAATATGTACAAACAGTTAGTTAGAAAATTGCCACTGGATATAGGAGGATTGAAATTTCCTCAGGGTATCAGAATTTCGAATATGGATTGGTATGCTGTTCCATACCACTGGACCAGAGTAATTAAATGATTTTCTAAAAAATTCTGTTTTTGGTTTGGGTACAGTTAGTTTTTCATTTTGTATGTTAAAGTGGCCTAATTTGAATCAGATTGATAGAGTAGACTGAAATCAAGAATTTTGTCAAAAATATTAAAAATGTAGAGGAGAAATGTATGGTAATTACACAGCATAAACCAGGCATTTTAGACATTTTACCATGAGCTGATAGGCGAATTCCCTATCCAAAATAACATTTTTTCCCCAGTTTCAGAACAAATACAAAAAGCAACATCAACAGCGGGTAAAGTTTTAATTCTATTTATTATACTACTAGTTTCATAACAAATTGTCAAACTTTTTCAATTTCAAAATACACTGTTTAGACATGTTTCCGAAAAGAAATAACAGGTTATGTGATCATACATATGTTTCAGTCTTGAAAAGTCAGGTATAAGGTATTTTCAACTTTCTAAAAGTTCTTAAAAAATTGAAATTGTCCATTCTCATAAAGGGAAGAGTTTTGAAATTCAAATGATAATATTTGAACAATCAAGCAAGTAAAAGGTCGAGTCTGATCAGGCTGTATCTTTGACATTGTGCAGTATAAAACATGTAACTGTAGTAACAAAGAAATTTATTTAACATTACTGACATTGTGCATTACCAAAATTCATATTAACATTTAAAATTTATTAAGTTTAACCCTTAGTTTGCTTGATGGCAACTTAGGTTTAGCCATGCAACCAGTGCAGGCCAACATCAGCCAGCACATCTTGATCTGCACTACTAGCAACTCAGTCAGTGTAATTATTTTGAAATTTTCCCTCAGGATGATGAATGGTGTTTTTCAGATTGAAAGTTGAACAAGTCCATTTAAGATATTTAGTTGGTTTTCAGTATGAAAACAATAATAAAATGTGAGGCCAAACACAAGTCATAGTACACAGGTCACATTACACGAGTCATATGAGTATAATGACACAGGTCACATTACACAAGCCATATATCACAGGTCACATTACACAGCTCACATTATACAGGTCATATTACATAGGTCATATTACACAGGTCATTTTACACAGATAATAGTACACATGACACATTACACAAGTCATATAACACATGTCACATTACACAAGTCATATTACACATGTCACATTACAAAGGTCACATGACACAAGTCATATTACACATGTCACATTACACAGGTCACATGACACAAGTCATAGTACACATGTCACATTACACAAGTCATATAACACATGTCACATTACACAGGTCACATAAAACAGGTCACATGACACAAGTCATAGTACACATGTCACATTACACAAGTCATAGTACACAGGTCACATGACACAAGTCATAGTACACATGTCACATTACACATGTCACATTACACAAGTCATAGTACACAGGTCACATTACACAAGTCACATTACACAGGTCACATTACACAAGTCATAGTACACATGTCACATTACACAAGTCACATGACACAGGTCATAGTACACATGTCACATGACACATGCCACATGACACAAGTCATAGTACACATGTCACATTACACAGGTCACATGACACAAGTCATAGTACACATGTCACATGACACAAGTCATATAACACATGTCACATTACACAAGTCATAGTACACAGGTCACATTACACAAGTCACATGACACAGGTCACATGACACATGTCACGTTACACAGCTCTCATTACACAGGTCATTTTACAGAGATATTTAGATGAGCCTACCTGTTTACTTTTGGCATAAAGTTCATTGCAGCCAGTTTAATAATAATACTCAAAGGGTTTAATAATTTTCTTTTCATTATTGTTTGTATCTCAGAATCTGATCATGTGCCAACAATCAATGAATTGTTTTGCATTACTCCATGGAATATGTGTATTTTACATAGAATTTGGAATGGTCCATTGTCAGGTATAGGGGAGTCAGTATATGATTGTATTATTACATGGTTATACGGTCCTTATAATGTTGTCAACACTAGATGGTCCAGTTTTTGCTTTAAACTTAGAGGGAGCTGTTGCATAGTAGATCAGGTTAATGCATGTTAAGCCTGAGCTCTATAATATTGTGGTCACAACAATGTTCCGTCATAAACATGACACCAGTACTGGTAGGTTTCAGGAATTGTACTTGAGACTGGATCAAACATGCTTCAAAGTTTCATTATAAACAATCTCAAATTAATATGTTTAAACAAAACTGGTTTTTTTTCTTTACTAATCTATGCCTTGCAGTTGAATTTTAAAATTATAAAATAGCTATAAAATATTATAAAATACAAATAGCTTTATTTAAATGAGATATGCATTGTTTACTGAACTAATATCTAAAATTCCATGCGTAAATTTCTGTTAACAAGCATGCAGTCAATCACATTATAATTAGGATATTAATGGTGAATTATAACAAATGAGCTATGCCAGGCCAGCCTTCACATTTGTGTACATGTTCTGTGTTGCCCAACCAGCCTCTATACTATTTGTAATTACTACTTAAAAAATTATTGTTATAACAGAAACTACTATTAGACTGTTATAAAGTCAAAGCAGAGGAAGTGGCTAAGGTTAAGTGTTAAAATCTTTAAAAGAAATTTTAAAAAAAATCAGAAAAGTTTTAGAATTGCTAATGGATGTTTTATCAATCAGTAAAGATAGCTGAATAATTGTGAAGAAATCAGTCGGTTTATCTGGGTTTTAGAGCAAGAAAGTTGAATTAATTAGTAATTGAATTAAGATAACAAATTCTCATCTATGCTGGTAATGGAATACTAATTGCTTTAATGTAATAGAGAATCATGAATGTTTACATGTACATTGAGTGAAATTGTTTTAACTTCCTTCCTCAAATAAATGTCTGACTCATATTTTCGTGCAAGTTCTTCACTTTGATAATTACATAATGCATATCTCTGTTTGTAAAATCATGTTTTTAGACAGTATTTTAAATTATAAGTTGTTTATTAAATCATAACACATGTAGGTTAAGGCCAGTTTCTATTACACAGATAATTTCAGATAATTTGGTATTCAGGTTAAGTGTAAAAAAAAGCTGTTATGTTTATTCAGAAAGTACTTCAGCTTCAGGGTTAAGGTCAATTATAACTATTTTGGTATTCAGGGCAAACTTCTCAATGATATTGCAAAAATTTATCTAAATTGGTATGGTACCATTGTTTAACTATAGTGAACTGTAACAGTAGAAGATGACACATTTTTCCTTTTCTTTTTTCTTTTCTTTTTTTTTTCTTTATGATAGCTATTTAATTTTTTTAAGTAATATTTTCAAACATACTTTTGCTAAAGTTAAAGCAATGTGACAGCTTAACAGGTGTGTAGTTTTCACTGGTACCCTAGTGTTTATATAATTAGCAGGCAACTGCCAATTTCTCATAACAATTCTGGTTGGGACTTTCCATTGATTCTGCGTATATAAATTCTGTGCCGTCTTCTGCTTGAATTCCAAGACTGAGTTTTTGTAGCTTATATATTGTAGTGTATACATCAGGTGGTTTTCTCCGAGATGATGATGTAGGATTTTTATGATGTATTTTCGTTACTAAGATGTTTGAAAACCTGGGATGTTTAAAAACTGTTCACCTATTTGAAAGGAAAGATAATAAGCAGCTTTTTCCTTCTGTATAAAATAGAATTTGGAATTTTCGTGGGTTTTCGGCATGATTCACAGATACGGAATTATCTCAAGAAGGAAAGTTAAGTGTAATGAAGAATAAACAAAGATATAAAAACATTTATCTTCCTCTTCTATAGATGGATACAGATAAATGTATTCCAATTTCATTTTTTAGGGGAAAACAAGTGTTTTTTTAAGTTGTAAATAAAGTTTTATCTGCTTGTGACATATTGGGGGAAAAATGAAAATTTTAAATTTCCCCTTACATAATAATGATCTGATTTTAATGTATACAATTACAGAAATTTTGTACTGTGTTACTACCATTGTAAATATTTATAATAAAGTTAATATTTAGGTTTAATATATAGAATTGTCACCTGAACAAAACTTCTGTGCCGGTATGGTTAGTTTATCTGACTTAATTTGCCATAATTTCATTTGAACCATATAGGTTCGAAACCTGTAGATCTTAATTAAAATATTGTCAGTGATTTTTTTTACAAACTTATCAGTGTGGGTCCTAGGACTCGCTGGGCTATAAATCTATGAGTCCCAAAATTTAGCCGACTAATCCAAGTTACAAGGCTTAATATTGGGTTAGTGATATGAAAGGTATATTAACAATGGAATGAAGAAAAAATGAATTTGATTTCTACATTAATTACAATGCTTCTGAAACTGAAATTATTCAAAACTGTCAAATAAATTTAATAAGTTTATTTCCATTAATTTAGTTTGAGATTAATCAAAACTTCATTTTTCTTAATATTTTTATGCTTATCTATAGTAAAGCACATTATTATTTCTTATCTGTAGAAGATTTGCAGACCTAGAATATGACTGACATAACTTTAACACGATTTGGTATTTATTACCAAATTCCTGTCAGACAGAACTCCCTACTCAGAAAAAGTATGCATCCAAAAGATGCACATTATTTGAAACTTTGCATCCACAGCAAATTCAATGAGTCCTGGACTCAGGATGCAATGGTAAAAAAATCACTGTATTGTTCATATTTATCTGGTGTTGTCGTGTGGTTTCTTTGTATTCTGCCTTTTCAACCATGATTTTGTTTGAGTTATAAGTTTGAAGCTCTCTTGGGATTAATGTTCAATTTTGATGAAAGTTTATTTGCTATAGCATGTGAAAATTGTGTCATTTTTGTGCCCAAACATAAAGGGGCTTCTGTGGTCTTCCTTCACCTTAAAAGCTACATGCCTCCAGATGAGTCAAAATATTTCAATAAAATATAACATAAGAAAAACTTACTAGAATTTTAGGAAAGTAAAAATATTCAAAATTCAAGTAATATTTTACATGTTCTGTGCAATTAATGAATTTTTTTCAGTATTTATTTAACTATATTTCTACTGCGTTACTAACTCAGTAAGGGCTATTTATGCATATTTTGACCACTTTTTGGTAACTTACGGGGTTGAAAGTGTCATTAAAAATGTGTAAATTGCTTCTTTTTGGTTACTTCACAATATTAAACATTCAGATACATTTTCAAAATTTTCATGAAAATTAGCACAAATCTGGAGGCGTGCTGCTTTAAACCTTAGCCTGGTGACAGCAACCCATACCACCCAAGCAGACCAAGATCAGCCGGTACATCCATGCTGTCTGAACACGGTCTGCTCTGTTAGCTATTCAGTTATTACATATTTTGAAATTTTTCTGTAAATGTGAAGGATGGTTTTGTACATTTATGATAATTAGCATGATTAGGTTTTAACTGTTACACAAACAGTGCCTCCCTTTAAGTCTTAGGTCAGATGCACGATTGAGATTGCCAAGAAAAAATTTAATGTCCGACTGCTCAATAAATTGCTTGATTTCTAAGAAAATTATGATTATTTTTGTACATTCAAAGTATTATGGAAATGATATGTATTAAACAGGAAATAATGTAATATTATCATCCTGATTAAATCATAGTCATGTCCTACTGTAGGATTGAGTGAGAAAATCGTGACATTGTCACCAAGTGAAATTGTTATACCAGGAATACATTAGTAAGCATGATATCTGATGTACGATATACAACAATGTATATTGAATAAATGAATAATGAACTATGAACTCCTTCAGACAATAATGAACTGATAGACTCCTGAGAAATCAATCATAGACTAGAAAAATGTTTTATAAGTGCTATAATGAACTAAAACAATGAACCCGCCACATCCACATAGATTCTGTGCTCATTGTCATACATGTAAGGACCAGAGGAAAAGTCACATGTTTGGTAAAATTGGGTTTGTTATCCCAGATAATGTACAGACCTGGATTTGTTCTCAAATGTTACCATGTGATGTCATGGAAACAATGGCAAAGGTTTGTATTTTAGAGAAAATATTCCTTGAACTAAGTTAGTGAATCATCTGTTTTGTATGTTTTCATGTCCTTTGGGTTAAATTTTTAAGTACTTTGTTACATTTTCTTGTCCTTTTGACTCATTAAGTAAATTAATCAGTTTTCTATATTAAATTTTACTATTGTATATATGAGAGATGATGAGTGATATATATTCTCTGTCATGATTAAACCAGTGAAACACAATGTACAATCTATCTGATCACATTATTCTCATTAATCTTAAGAGATTTTAAGATAGCGAAATTTGTTGAAAATTATTATTAAAACCTTTTCTGAGCTGTGTTATTATTGTCAGGCCTACAGTAAGGTAGAAACAGTGTATTGTAAAGGGTAGTGAGATTTTCCTTGTTTGGAGACTAGAAGAGAGATTTTCTAAGACTTCTAGGGATTTTTATTCAGTTTCAACTTGAATAATTCTCAATATAAACCAGTTTATTGATTATAACATGAAGGTAATATAGTTATCAAACTGATATGGATAAAATACAAGAGCATAGTGCGAAAAAGGTAACAGATCTTGCTTATATCTATATGAATTACAGAATGGTATACTATTTAATACATTGTTTCTCACTGAAACTATTGAAAACAGTTCCTATTTTATAACATAATGGTTGGTAAATATTTATTACAATTTTGTAACTTTGTTTTCAGGGACTGAACGGTTTTGAGGAGTTGAAGAAGTACATACGTCAAGGGAGTGATTTCTGTAAGGACATTGCCTTCATTATCCAGGAAAGGTACACATAATTTTATAATACTGCACGTTTGTAACGTCATTTTTCATTGGATAATCATGACATTTATATAGTTTTATATACACGGCTGCTGTCGACTCATGAAGAAATCTTACTTTTTTCGTTAAAAAATGATGCTTGCTGTATTATAAATTTGTTATAAAGATTGTTGACAGGTTATATGGCCATATATAAACGGCTGTTTGCAATTTAACCCTCGCCTAGCGGCTCGGGATATATTTACAAACGCTGTTTATATAGGGCCATATAACCTGTCAACAATCTTTATAACTAATAATATATTCATTGTGCCCCCACGTTAGTGGCGGGCATTTAGATTTACCCTTGTCCGTCCGTCCGTTCACTTTTGTGTCGCACGTAACTCAAAAAGTATTTGACCTAGAGTCATGAAACTTTACAGGAATGTTGATCAGCATGTGTTGTTGTGCACCTGGGTATTTTTGTGTGGATATTTTTAGTATTTTCAGAGTTATTGCCCTTGACTTAGAAAATTTTGCAATTTTCAACATGTGTCGCACGTAACTCAAAAAGTATTTGACCTAGTGTCATGAAACTTTTCAGGAATGTTGATCAGCATGTGTAGTTGTGCACCTGGGTATTTTCATTTGGATATTTGTAGTATTTTCAGAGTTATTGCCCTTGACTTAGTAAAATTTTGCAATTTTCAACTTGTCTCGCATGTAACTCAAAAAGTATTTGACCTAGAGTCATGAAACTTTACAGGAATGTTGATCAGCATGTGTAGTTGTGCACCTGGGTATTTTCGTGTGGATATTTGTAGTATTTTTGGAGTTATTGCCCTTGACTTAGTAAAATTTTGCAATTTTCAAATTGTGTCGCATGTAACTCAAAAAGTATTTGACCTAGAGTCATGAAACTTTACAGGAATGTTGATCAGCATGTGAAGTTGTGCACCTTGGTATTTTCGTGTGGATATTTTTAGTATTTTTGGAGTTATTGCCCTTGACTTAGAAAATTTTGCAATTTTCAACATGTGTCGCACGTAACTCAAAAAGTATTTGACCTAGAGTCATGTAACTTTACAGGAATATTGATCAGCATGTGCAGTTGTGCACCAGGTATTTTTGCCTGGATTTATTTAGTATTTTTAGAGTTATTGCCCTTCACTTAGAAAATTTTTGCAATTTTCAACTTGTGTCGCAAGTTACTCAAAAAGGATTTGACATAGTCATTAAACCTTATGGGCAGGTTGCTCAGCATATTGAGATATGCACCTGGGGTTTCGCTTGTGGATTTATCCAGTATTTGTAGAGTTATTTCCCTTGACTTAGTAAAAAGATTGACAGAACAGTGGCGCGGTAGGGGCACCCGTGTCCTATGGACACATTTCTAGTTATTCTTTTGTTCTTTAAGGCAATTGACCACATGTATAGCATGTAATATACAAAATACATTGCCAGTTTGTTGTTTTATAATGACTCTCCTGGTCTGATATATAACAAGTTAACTTACTAAACAGAATTAAAAAATCAAAATTGGTTATCCCTCGCCAACATTATCATGTAGTCTTACCAGGCTATATACAGTTGGCTGAACAACTTAAATTTTTCACATTGATATCATTAAAATTGATTATGGAAAATTCCAAAAATGGAAGGTAATCCATTAGAAAATTCAGCAAATTATGAGTTCATGCCCCTGCAACAATAGATTGGAGTGGGAGATGTTATTTAAGTCTTGTCAAAATGTAATGTATGAAAATTAGCCAGCCCCCATATCTCAATCGGTTGTATGTGAGACTTCAGTGTTGTTATATTTTCTGGTCCTTCGGGATCATTGATGCCAGCACTATAAAGTGTTGAGAATTGAGTACCGCTCAAGCCGGTGCTAGGGGGTGTGAGGGATGTTGCACTTATTTATTATCCCTCATGTACAGAATCAATCAAACTGAGTCTGCAATTCTTATGTTATTTTGTTGTGATTAATGCTTCCGAGGGATCACTTTGTTTCCAGAATTTTGTACTTCACAACAGCAGGTGTCAAGTGCTGAAATTTGAGCATCTTTCTGTAACTTGCATAATCCTCCAAAATAAAAAAATGACTAATACTCTTTTGGAGGACTTGCCCAACAGGCAACTGGTGGCCCAACAGGCAACTGGTGGCGAGTATAAAAAAAACTCAAATACACATATAATTATGTTCTTTGCTTGTTTGCCTCTCCATCTTGTCAACATTAGTCATACACTCATCTTACTTTATTGTAGAGTCTTCTATGCCATATATTAACATATTCATCATATAAGGATTAAGGCATAACTTCCTCATTTTTGATGTTCAAATTTGGTACAGGATTGTTTTTGTCTTTTGAACATAAATATTGATTTGCAGTTTTTTGTAAGCATTTATAGGTAAAGTTTTATCTAGAATAATGATAAACTTGTTATAACCTATGACTCCAAGAGAAGAAGATTGAATCAGGTAATCTATAAATCTATAGTAATTATTTGGCATATCAAACATAAGGCACATTATCAGTTTATATAATTATGAAAACATTAAATTGTTTATCTTATGAGAGAAGATGTGTTTTTTGATGAGTACACTGACTACATGTCCTGGTTACTATATGTCCTGGTAACCTCATGACCTCGTGACTACATGTCATGGTGTCTAAATGTCCTTGTGACTACATATCCAGATGACTTAATGTCCTGGTGACTATATATCCTGGAGTTACATGTACCAACTACCTCTATTGTGACTTTTTATTGTATAAACTACCACTAATTGTTACTGTTTAAACTGAGACTCTTCATTTTAAGGTAATTTGGACAACGAAATTAATTATTATTCTGGAAAACGGGAATGAGTAAATGAGCACAAGTTTCAGACCTACATCAATGGGTATAGAAATTACAAAAAAAATATTTTCAGTTCCCTCATGTCAAAAAAAACTCGAATGAAGTCCCTCTAAAAGACAGACTATGAACAGTCACCAATATTGATACTAGCTAAAATTGGCCTGCTTTGAAACAGATATTATATATTGAAGATGTATAGTATAGGTGTTATTTTATCATTACAATTTTGTTGTTTTTTTTAGAGCTGATTTGGAAAGTACATATTCTAAAGGTTTAAGTAAAGTAGCAGGGAAACTTAGCAGAGCTTCACAGAACAGCACTGGGTAGGTCAACTTTTAATATATTTATACATGTATTTGTCACTATGATATAGTTTAGTTAGGACATATTTATTTTAGCTGGATTGTGACAAAAGCTTAGTCATTTTTATGGAACCATTTCCATATCCCCTTCCTTGTACCAATCTGGTGTCATATGAGGATGTATGGTTGTGACCCAGTCAGGGCTCGAGCCCATTATTCCTGGATTTAGAGGAAACACAACCACTATGCTATCTCTGCTTTAAGTCATGTTTTGAATGTTGTTATAATGTTTTGGTATTATGATAATTGGCTAGTTCGGAGAAATAAGATCAAGTTCTATGAGTGTTATGTCTAGTATAGAACTTTTGTTCTTTAGTTTAAACTTTATAATTTCACAGTGTGGGTGAAAGGAATTGTACATTTATAGTTCAACTGTTTGAAAATTGGGGAAAGCTATTATACTCACATTGACCTCAATGTCACACTTTGGCTTTTGCATGCAAGTTGGTATCTCCAAAACTAGAAAAAAGAGAATTGGTTGAAACTTCGCACATTTATTTAAGAGCATAAATAGGAGTTCACTTCTGAGGGCCATTACTCTAAAATTGATTTTGAATTGTTGCTCTTTGAGAAAATTCTACATTATTCAGGGTCTTGCCCTACTATCAAACACATAGAATAATCAAGCATGCTGTCCTGCCCACAACCCTTGTTGATTTAAGACAATAATAATGCTTGTTTTCTCTACTTAATTTTTTACACATTTTTAGAACAATTTTTTTGTGGACAGTTGAAATAATTGGTGATGACTATGAAGCATTGCCTATCCAGTTTGATATTACCATGTGCTGTTCTGATACCATGAACTAACAGTTATTGACTCCAGAATCCATGTTGTTTAAATATACCATACTTGTAAAGTTCATCAGATGAAATATTTCTAATATAAATATGTTTCTATGATTAGTTAATTTTCTGGAGGAAAAAGAAAGCTGAATTATCAATCATATTCTAAATTAGAAACAGATTGCTTATTTTGTATGTATAATTATTGTGTACTATGTTTTTTGTAGGAGTTTAACAGATGGGTGGAAAGCAGTATCATCTTGTATAGAAGTGGAGGCAGAATTACACAAGTAAGAATATCTCCTTATTATCTCCCTTTGATTTATACAATATGTCTTCAATTTTAAAAATGAAACTTACAAAACCTAGGATATGAAAGAAAGAAAAAAACTGAATCTGAAACTTAGTATTGCTCAAATTTAAGTAAAAATATAGATATCTAGCTTGTTTAACTGTTGTGTTTATACAGAGTAATAGATTTTTTAATAAATTTGTAATACAAATTTACTGTTATAAAAGTGTCAATATTGTAAATTCATTTTTTTCTTTGTATAATATTTGCTTAAATAGAAATTTGAATGTACATGTTTGACTAACTAGGATATCTCTTCATTTATTACAAATAATACACAAACATATGTTACAATATCAGTATGTCACCTACATTCATAATTAGTATATAATATATCGCTTATTTCATATATTTCATCATTGGTTTTATGGTATATGTTTCAGAAATTTAGCAACAGCTTTATTAGAAGATATAGCCAAACCATTGAAACATTTAGTGGATGGACAACATAAGGCTAGGAAACCAGTAAGTATTAACACCATGGGTAAGGGATCCTGTGGTTCTATGGTAAAGGGTGCTTAATATGATCATTTGACCCTCACCTCTGCATTTTTGAAAAAGAATACTTCAAAAATGCATGTATGAAAGAAATATTGAAGTATATTTCTTTAAAAGCAAATGGAAAATGCACAAAATCATAGCTAAACGATAATTTACCTACTTAAGATATCAGCAAAATACTTCATTGCAGGACATTTTATAAGTTTTTAATAAAAAATTCATATGTGTTAATTAACAGAGAAATTCTGTAACAACTGTTATAAGATTTTGGAATCAATATAATCTTACTGTTTATAATTTTCATGAAATTATTTCATAACATAAATTATAGCTTTGTTCCCATTAAAGATTAGTCAAACTGTTGTATTTATTATCAAAGTTATAACTGTAAATGTTGTACTTATAAGCTGGGAAACCCGTATTTAGTGTTCATTGTAAAGTGAGTCTATTAACCAGTAAGTTATTTATCAAAGTGGTGATTCATGCCAAGTCTGCTATGATATATTATTAGTGGGTTCCTCATTTGGGCATTGTTACAAATGTAAATTATATTTATATTATTATTTCAGATTGAACTGTCTGTTGATAAGGCATTGAAATCCCTGACAGATAAAAGAACAGAGGAAAATAAGGTATAGAATGTATATGTGAACTTGTGCTAATATAAAGCTCTTAAAGTTTCAATTATTTACTAATAATGACTCATATGTCTTGTTAATGAGGAATCTTCCCTCTACAATAATTTTTTCTAACATTTCACGTGGAATGGTAAGTTTTGGAAGTCGACCAAAGGGTGGAAAGATAATTGGAAGGCATCACTGTAAAAACGAGAGTGCTTTGTTCTTTATTGACAAATGTCAACTTGTGCCCCTTGTGGCAGTGATTTAAATGTAATAAATAGTATATTATCACCTAGTAGTTAAACTGAAATGAATATCATGTAACATTACTTTGTCAACATGTTATGTCTTGTTTGTTTTAGGCAAAAAAATCTGCATATGATTGTGCAAAATCACATGAGAAAGCAGAGGAAGCCAAACAAGGAAAAGCCAAAACAGAAAAAGACATAAATAAGGTAATTCAGATTAACATTCTGAATGAGCCAAAGACTTAGTTTTTATTGTACACGATTCTCAGGGGCGTCTGTGGCCAAGGGTTAAGGTCGTTGACTTCAAACCACTTGCCTCTCACCGCTGTGGGTTCGAATCCTGACAGGGACTTTGGATTCTTTCATGTGAGGAAGCTATCCAGCTAGCTTACAGAACATCGGTGGTTCTACTCAGGTGCCCGTTCGTGCCTGAAATAATGCATGGAAGGGCACCTGAGGTCTTCCTCCACCAGTAAAAGCTGGAACGTCGAAATGACTGATACTGTGTTGATGTGAAGTAAAACCCAAACAAACAAACACGATTCTCAGCATGAACATAAATTAATGTTTTAATTAAGAGAATGAGTAGTACAACTCTTAATATGCTGGAACTGATAAGTCTTTGTCTGGTCAGTCAGGGTCAGTACAATCTCACAAATATCTAAACTGTTAGTAGCTCATTGGTTGTATGTTGACATTAAAATCCCCTACACTTTGAATGGACTTTTTCAAATTGACAGCAGGGGAAATACATTACATAGATTCAGTTAAGGTTAAGGTATTAGAAAATAAAGAAACACAACATTTCTAGCTAATCTTTCTCAGTTGTAGGGAACTTATATATTTCAATGTTTCATATACAAACATGTTTTTACAAATCTAAAAATAATCAATACAATGCTTGATTTATGTCATAGACATGTCTTTGGTTTGCACATGCTTGATTGTTGACAACACAATTATGTCTACTTTATGTCTTCTGCAATCTATCTGAAAAGATTTCATTTACTTGGGAAAAAAGTTTAATACTGATATGACTGGTATATGCTTATAGGAACATTCATTATTAATTTTGTGCAGACATTTATATAGATCTTTGGTTGAAGGGCTGATAAGCTCTACAAAACAAATAATTTATGTCAAGTTTCATCACAGTAAGCTATTTGTGCCTTTATTGTTTTAACATATCTAACATACTCCAGTATTATAATTGAGCCGCGTCATAACAAAACCAACATAGTGGGTTTGCGACCAGCATGGATCCAGACCAGCCTGTGCCTCTGCACAGTCTGATCAGGATCCATGCTGTTCACTGTCAGTTTCTCTATTTGTAATAGGGTTTGTAAGGGAACAGCATGGATCCTGATCAGACTGCGCAGGCTGGTCTGGATCTATGCTGGTCGCAAACGCATTACATTGGTTTTGTCATGACGCGGTTCATATTATATTTTACCATAACTCTATTATTATGATATAGACAGAGAAGAAACAGAAGCAGGTGTTAGATGCATTACGTAAGGCAGACAAACATTACTGTGAGACATGTGAGAAAGCCGAGGTGGCCAGACAGGAATGGGACTTTGCTGTAAACAAGGTAATTCTTGTTATATATTCATGACGGTCAACTTGCATCCATTGTGGTAATGACTTGAATCCCTATAAATCCTAGATTGTTACCTGGAAGTGAATGTAGTTTCCATTGTTGGAAAAAAAAGAATTACTTAAAGGTTAACAAACAATAACAATCTTGAAATGTTTAAAACAGCACAAATGTAAGATTTCACTCTTTATACAACATTTTCTCAGAATATGTGTATGGGCTGGTGGGCTGATTAAACAATAAACTTTTGAATTTGAATTTTCACACTTAATACAACATTTTCACTGACAACATGTTCAGTGCTTGCTAAGTTCTTCTGTTAAAGATTAAAATGATTTCACAAAATTAAGAAATAATATTGGTCTCGGTGGCGTTCATCAGCTATTTAACACTGGTTTGGAGTTTTGATGCGTAGGAATTGACCAGGAAGGTTGTAGATCTGAGTGGTTATTCAAATGACAAAACAGTGATTAATGCAAATAATGATTTTCATTTATAATTATTCTGTTTCTATGTTTGACAATTTCAGGCAATCATTTTCTTTCTTTGTTTGACAATTTCAAGCCCAGTTACATTTATATTTTAAATTTCAGGCCAATGCCCAGTTACATTTATATTTTACAATTTCAGGCCAATGCCCAGTTACAGGCGTTAGAAGAGGAGAGAATAGCTAAAATGAATGATTTCCTTAATCAGTATAATAGTCATTTATCTATGTTAGCACCAAAATTAACTCAGGTATTTACTCTTATATTATTTGTTTATAGTATAGAGTACTAAGGCTCCCATGTTTACAATTTTTTGTAAACGTTTACACGATTGCTAAGAACCGAAACAATTAACGGTGGTACTTTTATGTTCTATGCTATACCATGTATTCGTGTTGCCAAAATTTATGATGACTTACTTTTTGTTTAATGTATGTACAAATAGGGAGCTCATCATAAGGAAGTCGGCACATAATTTCTGCATTGTTATCCCATCTCTCTCTTTTAAAAGATCAAAGGAAAGTCAACTTTATGTCCCGAGCCAATGCACGGTGCTGCTGTTTGGAGGGTTGTAGATACCCATTTTCTGTTTTTGCTTTGGAATAAATCAATCAGAATTGATAGAATTTGTGATTACTGACAAAGATTAAGATATTTTGTAACACAATAATTATGGTTATTTCGTTTAAACGGTAAAATATTGTAAATGTTACGAATGAAAATCGAAACGAAGACCTTTAAACGTGTAACCTTGGGGGCCTTAAACAGTACAAGTGTTATAATGAGGAAACATAGTTGTAAGTCTTGTATATAAAGTGACATTATTTTTATCATGACATTGCTGTAAGTAACTTCATTAATTAACAGTTTATTTTATGCTTAAAAATCTTTAGAAGGTTTATAATAAGAGAATTATTAAAATAGTTACAGGAATACTTGGATATCTGTCATGATTTGACTTACTGGGAATTTGCTAAATCAGTTCACATGCAATTCGACTTAGTAAGGTCTATGATAAATTATGCTTTATTGAGTCATATGTAAATGTAGATTGAAGAAACAGTATGAAAATTTAACTGTTAGTAAAATATTTAAAGTACAAGATTATACTGATTTATATGGGGATAGGACCATGTGGAGTTGTCCATGTCTCTCATGGTGTCTGTCCATAAACTGACAAAACTTGAAAGTAGGGGCGTTTGTGTCCTTTGTGACACATTTCTAGTTTGTCATATCTGACCAAGACAGACTGCAGTAAGTGGGTTGTTTATCGTAATGATAATGAGACTTGCATCATAAATGGTTTTTAAAAAATGTTTTGAGAATTTTACATGCAATAATGTGTTTATTTCAGAGTTGTGAAAAATTACATCAGTCAGTTTTATCTGTAGATATTGCCGGTGATATTAGAAATGCAGCTAAACAACGCTCCACTCATTATACTCCTGAACAAATACTCATTGATTGCTATGTAAGTTTATGTTAAAAACTTAAAATTTGCAATTCTTAGCATGATATTTGGAATATTTTGCACAATAAAAATGATTACTATGTAAAATCCTTAGCAGAGTTTGTGAATGACAGAGGAGCTTATTCCAAAAGACATGTCCTGTCTGGCTGACTGTTTAAGGTCATTGACTGTGAATCTCTTGCTCCACACAGCATAGATTACAATTCTGTCATGTGAGGAAGTCATCTAGTTGGCTTATGGAATGTCTGTTGTTCTTTTCAGGTGCTTGCTTGTGCCTGAAATAATGTTATTTCTTATAGCATATAGATCATATGAAAATATATCAAGATTTAAGATGACTATTTTATAAAGAACTAGATTGTTTGCAAAGCTGTAGTATATAGTCGCCGCCTTGTCTGTCCCGTCCGTCTGTACGTCCGTTGTCTTGTCTGGAGCATAACTTGAAAACCCTTGGAGATAAGTTGTTTAAACTTCACACAGTGGTAGAGAACAACGAGGCGGAGTGCAGTGTCAAAGAACCATAACTCTATTTTGCCCTGTTTTTGAATTATCTCCCCTTTTAGAAAAATCTTGTCCAGGACATAACTCTAAAACTATAAGAGATATCAACATGAAACTTTGTTGGTAGATTGATCTCAATAGGTAGATGTGCAGTGCACAAGAAACTTAACTCTGCCTTGCCTTATTTTTGAGTTATTGCCATTTGTTCATACTTTGTTTGGGACATAACTGAGAAACCATAACAGGTATCAACAAGAAACTGAAATTATTGCACTTTGAACTTTGTCCAGGGACATAACTCTGAAACTACAAGAGTTGTACTTTCCTATGTCAAAAACCTATTCGGGGAGCATCATCCGGCTCAAACTTCTTGTTTTTATCAGTTTTAGTAACCAGTTATATGTTAATTGTTTATAGGCTGAAGATAAACAGTTTTCAATGAAACAAGAACGGCGGAAACTTGCATTGCAACATTATTTATTACAAATAAGACAGTCTATAGAAAGGGAACAAAAGGGGCGAGAAGGTATAGTTAAATATAAATGTAGAACCTTACTTCCATAATTGGCAAAATATCATATGTTTAACATTTTCACTGCCATAGAGACGGCTTATGCCGTCCCTGTTATTTTCGGCGTATTTGCCATAGGGACGGCTTTTGCCGTTTATATAAGAATCATAATAAAAATAATAAATTTATAATGATAATAAAAATAATAATAAATATAAAGAAAATTATACCATCGACAATAATTATTATTATACAAGCATATTTAGAACATATATAATTATTATAATACTTATAACAAATAATAATAATATTTATATGAATTAATAATATAGTAATTTCTTAGAAAACTTCTGGCAAATAGGTGATCAATAAAACAATAACCCTCTGGCAGCAAAAGGGTTAACTTAATTTTAGAGCTGGATAAATGAAGACGTCACATATTAAACTTAAAAAAACAAATATGGTTGAATAAAAAATAGCACATATTTTTGTTAACTTCAACGATGGTTTGATAAATGTTATATAAGCCTAATTTGCACTTACATAACCTGTTAATTAACAGCCTATTGTTTATTTAGTACCATGATGGTTTATTTAGTACCATGTAATATGTAAAAAAAACAATGTTTATAACTTATAAATATACTACAGGTGTTGAGAAGCTGGTAGATGTATACAGGGAAAGACCGAACTTTGCTGACGCGGATGCACAAGAAGAGGCCAGACAAAGATTAAATCAAGTAAGAATTGATCCGCCTTTCCCCATCAGTATAGAGCCAGGTTTGCCTGTTTATCTGTGCTGTCTGACCAGGCTCTATGTTGTTGGTGACATAAATCCCTTAAATTTAAAGTACCATACACAGATTTAGCAGATTATTGTGTTAAAACGTGTGCAGGAAGAATTTAAACAAGCTTACCATACTACATTTGTCCTACTTTAAAATTTTTGAACATTTTGATGTAGTAATTTGAGCATTTCGATACAAAAGTAATAAAGTTGTGTAGTCAACAGTATAGTGTTTCTTTAGACTGCTCACCTGTCCTGGCTGGCCTCACTGTACTAGTGGTATAGGTCTGATTTTATTATTGTCATCACTGAGGTCTGGATCAAATTAAGATACAGAGGTCTGGATCAATTTGAAAAATGTAAAGTCAGAGTAGCTATTTGTTTAATCTGAGAAGAATATGTGTATATGCAAAGCAAGAAAAACATTGAAAAAAGTTTAGTAATGTTTTTGATAATTGATTTTTTACAGTGTTGTAGAAATTATGTACATGTATGTATTCTATTTTTACAGATGATATTTATGACCAATTTTCTCAAATTTGTATAATATGTTTACAGTTGATATTTATATTTTATGTATTCAGGTGATATTAATATGTATTATATGTTTACAGGTGATATTTATATGTATTATATGTTTACAGGTGATATTTATGACTAATTTTCTGGAGGCCAATCACTACAAGATCGCATCATATTTAGCAGAAATGGACAGATCACATAAACCAGCTCATAAATTTTCTAAATACATAGAACAGACAAGAGATAAACAGGTCTGTACTTCCTGTAAAAATTGTTGTTAGAATAGGGATAGCATCAGTTAGTTATGATGTTAGAAATACAGTGTTTATGTTGAATATTCAATATTATTATTAAGTAAAAAAAATTAAGATTAAAAAGAGATTATAAGATTACAAGGATAGATTTTCCTGACATAATTAAGATATGTTTTTACCCATTTAGTTTATACAAATTTATTTTAGTTTGATTGTGTTGGAAGCTATAAGCTTATTGAAACAGTCTAGAATGTTCCTGGAACCAACCAGTACTGAACAATGAATGTAAAGTTTCTTGCTCATGCAAACAACAACTTGCCCCGATCGGGTTGAACCCACACAGGAAGCATTTCTTATATTTCTAGTCTGATGTGTTAACTAGTGGGCCTTGTTATAATCCAGTAAAGGGTGGATATAATTTCAATGATTTTTGTCAGTATTTTTTGACAAAGGAGAAACTTAGAAGATACTTGTTACTTTTAATGCATGTAATTGCCTACTCCATGCATGATATTAAAAGTCATCTGTGTAATCTTGTAAAAATAGTGCTCTAAAAGATGTTGTTTTATTAATTTTGTAATAAGCTTAAATGATAGTAAATTGTACAATGTACATGTAATATGAAATTAATAAGAATTATTACATGTTTTGTAATAAGAATCATACACATACCAAAGTTCTTATATTGAAAAAAACAAACAATGTTTGAAAGTTCTTTAAAAAAAAATCTGCAACACTGGACACATCACTTGCTTGTACATTGACCAGTAAAACAGCATTTGTGTTTTATGATAGATAACATTTTATACTATGATATAGATAATGATAAATAATACAAATTTATGTGTTTGTCAATAAATTATCTCTCTCTATCTATCTGTAAAATGCATAATTTGACAAAAGACAGTTGAAAACAAAAACAACAACTAGGGAAGTGTACTCTACTGGTCTCACAGCTTAACTGTTAATGAAATTTCTATGCAACTATTGTGTATTTTATCTCTTATAAATCTGTGACACTGTTTTTTATGCATATTTCAGGGAATGGTTGTGAGTGTTTTAAGGTTACCAATGAATTTGGCATGTGAAGGTCACACAGGATATGATGTGACTAATGTAACTATAGGAGCTTTAGCTAGTGATGAACCATTTGGTAAGTTAGTATATGATATACTTCTACCCATGTTACAATTCAATTTTGTTTTGAAGATTTGGATTTTCTTTGATTATGATATATAATTATATTATGATAACATGTTACAAGGAAATTGTTTTGATTGATAGCGACACTATTTGCTGGCTGATGTAACAAACTGAAACATGGGTACGTTGGAGGTTTTATAAAAGAGTTCATGTTGAATTCATTTATCCATACCTTAAAGCCTCGAATCTATTAAAGTAAATGAGCCGCGCCATGACAAAACCAACATCGTACATTTGCAACCAGCATGGATCCAGACCAGCCTGCGCATCCGTGCAGTCTGATCAGGATCCATGCTGTTTGCTATCAGTTTGTTATAGAGTTTGTTATAGGGTTTGTAAGCGAACAGCATGGATCCTGTCACACTGCACACATGGTCTGGAACTATGCTGGTTGCAAACGCACTATGTTGGTTTTGTCATGGCACAGCTCAAATAATGGAAAGTTTAAAGAGAACATAAACCCTGACTTCACAAGCATGTGGTCTTCTAGATGAATTTAGTACTATGTTTATATCTTTATTAAAAGGTGTTCTTGTACATACATGTATATATCTTGTTATACATATTTTAGATGATGATGATTTTGATGATGACCCATCACTGGAACCACAGAATCACCGGATCATTGGTCGGTGTAAAGTGGTATATGATTATCAGCCGGACCAAGCTAATGATCTTGTACTTCAGTCAGGTAAAAACATTAATATTCACTTATATTTTATCTAATCATAAAAGTTCTGTAGGAAATAGGTATATATTTCTTTTTATTTTATATCGGTTAATACTGTAACAAAGTACATAGATAGAAAACACAATATATATATTATTGTTTCTACAATTGTAATCAGTTTTGAAATTGAATTTCTTTCATGAAGTCTTAGTTTTCTTGGTTGTTGTATGTTTATTATAAATCAAATCTTCAACACAAAACTCCCATACACCTTTACTGTGTTCTGATTGAGAATATTCCATGGGTGATATTTTAATATCACATTTGGGCAGGTAACTCAGACATGCCTTCATATACAGTACAGTATTAGTTAACTCCCCTGGACTGAACTTTTAGGTGTTTATCTGCCCCCACTTTGTTACAAAAATGTTGTTTGCAAGTACTTCTTTTGTTTAGATTGTGTAGGTATTTTATTTATTATTTTACCGAAAACCGGGTTATTGTAATGCCGGCGGGCGGGCAGGTGGGCAGGCGGGCGTCAACTTTTGGTTTCCGCTCAATAACTTTAGTTTGCTTTGGCCTATTGACACCAAAGTTGATGAATGGGTAGCTTATATCAAGAGGCAGCTTTGGATTGCTACCCAGGTGTCTGTGATCAAGGTCAAGTGCACTGATACTGAAAATAGAAATTCAGTTTAAGCTCAATAAGTTGAGTTGCTTTGACTTATTGACACAAAACTTGGTGTATGGATAGCTTATATCAAGAAACAGCATGGGATTGCTACCTAGGCATCTGTCATCAAGGTCAAGGTCACTGTTACTAAAAGAGAAATTCAGTTTCAGCTCAATAACTTGAGTTTGCTTTGGCCTATTGACACCAAACTTGATGAATGGGTAGCTTATATCAAGAGGCAGCTTTGGATTGCTACCCAGGTGTCTGTGATCAAAGTTAATGTATTTAGTTTTCATGTTATAACTTGAGTTTGCTTTGACCTTTTAACACCAAACTTGCTGCGTGGCAGCTTTGGATTGCCACTTAGATATCTGGTCGTTGAAAACCTGGTTTTCGTCGCATTGCGGCACTTCTTGTTTGGTAGTTATAAAGCTTTTCAGTATTATAGAATTAATAAAACATAGCTGTCAGGTTTGATTGTGGATATTGTCAACCCTTAATCTAGCATATTTCCCAGAGGCTGTGCCTTGATGTAGTATACCAGGTCTCTGGTTGACAGTATCTAAGTGTTACTTAATTAACATTGGAGAAAACATGCAATATTATGACAATTTGATGTATTTTTTCTATTTCAGGGGATGTAATAAACATCTATGATGATAAGCAGCCTGATGGTTGGTGGCAGGGAGAATTGAATGGTAAAGTTGGAATGTTCCCAGCCACGTATGTTCAGAAAATATGATGGTCAGTTTGTCATACAGTGATTTCCAAATGTAATATTTGCAAACTTCTGAAGTGATAAAACAGAAGTTTTTGACTAGTTTCAGACACTTAAGAATACAAAATTTGGACCAAGAATAGACTGGTTGTTGTACAATGATGGAAGTTGACAAAGATAAAAGAGCTTACAGGGAGATTTGTGAAGTTCTGTCAATGGCATTAGAAAAAATGGTCTTACATAAAATATTATCATGTAACTTATATTAAGTTTTGCTGTTTCTGTGTAACAGAGAAGTAAAAGAAAAACCTCATCAAAGAATCTTTAAAGAGATATTGCATTTTAGTTGGGTATTATTGTTAATTAAAGTCAGAGGACTTATTGACAGCCCAAGTTAAATATGTAATTTTATCTTAAATGTCACTGGTTAAAAGCATTTTGCTATAGAATGTGCAATAAGTTTTTGTTGATGCATGTTTTCGTCTATGTTCGTACCTAACAGATCTGATTAGAAATATAGTGATACTAGATGTAACTTACATGTAAAAAAAATCTGGAAACAAAGTGATCCTTTGGAATCATTAATCACCACAAAATTACATGAAATTGTAGACTTGGTTTAATTGAGTCTGTAACACACCTGACACAAATTGGCTGAAAACTGAAAGTAAATTAATTTCGTTTTAGTATTTCTTACATGTATTTAACATTATTACCAATTTTCTATATACTATTGATGCTTAATATATTAAATATATATGAAATATTTAGCAAAGAAAACAAGACTGAATTGTTCTGAACATAAAATAGAATATGATTTACTAAATTTATTAGTATTTGTCTTATATTGGTGCATAGATAGTTTGATTAAATTAATAAGTTGGCCATTATTGATTATGGTGCAATATTTAAACATCTGAAGAAAGACACTACATGTTCTGATTTTTTGCTGTTGTTGTTTTGTTGTTTTTTTGTTCTTTAAGATAATTATAACTTTATCTGTAATTTACGATCTTACATTCATCTTATAATATCCTTCCTTCAAATGGTGTGGTGTGCTATTTTGTTCCTGATTATTTCCCATAACAAACTATGTTTAACTTGATAATTTCCCATAACAAACTATGTTTGTACTTTTTATTTCCCATTACTAGGTACATGTATGTGATATATACAAAATTATCTTATTTTTCTTTTGCAGAAATTGAATAAGAAATATCATAATAATAATATTATTTTTCTTCCGCCTTACTTTAAATGAAAATCTCTAAGATATATATATCATTGTGGAAATGGCATGGATAAATATGGAGTTGAATATAGTTTTTATATTTTTATTTATAACATACATGTATAAACGTAGCATTGGTATTCAGTTTAAAAACCTGCATATATTGTTAGATAAACATTACTTTTGTATATCAGTGTTTGACCTACTTTAAAACTATTGTAAGACATCAAATAGCAAATGAAATGAAAATGTGGTCAAAAAATTATATAGCAATAATATCTAATTAAACTTTGGTAAAATATAATGGCATTCAAATGTTATTACAGTTAAAATTTAAAATCATATTAAATCATATTTTATTATATAAATATACAATGTCGTATATAAATTTGATATCAATACACAAGCATTCATGAATACATTAATGTAAATATACAAAAAGGGTTGCCGAGTGGTTAAGGTCGTTGACTTCAAACCACTTGCCCCTCACCGCTGTGGGTTCGAATCCCAACAGGGACTTTGGATTCTTTCCTGTGAGGAAGCTATCCAGCTAGCTTACGGAACGTCGGTGGTTCTACTCAGGTGCCCGTTCGTGCCTGGAATAATGCACGGAAGGGCACCTGAGGTCTTCCTTCACCAGTAAAGCTGGAACGTCCCGATATGACCTATACTGTGTTGATGTGACGTAAAACCCAATCAAACAAACAAAAGGGTAGAGTCAAAAATTATAACAACATTATTGAGGGCCCTCTTATTGTATAACTGTCAAATGTTATTAGAAATATTGTTAAACATAATAAAAATAAAATGTAATTAGACTGAAGCTTAACATCATATAGCAGTCAAATGTAATTAATATTATGATTAAACATCATAACAATCAAATGTTAACATGTACAGGTATCTTGTACATATGCTTTTCTCTAAGAGTGTTTTAAATTTCAACAGAAATATTTAATACCTGTGTTCACTATAAGTACTAAGTTCAGCCTGCCTCCTGCCATTGTATTTATCATGCTTTCTTTGTTATGTTCATTTCAGTAATAGCTTATCATTTCAATTTATATGTAATTGAGGTTACTGCCCACTTAACTGACTGGTCTTACAAACTGTACTGTGGTCTTACAGCAATATGCCTCCAGATTCATGCTTATTATACCCCCAAAAACGAAGTTTGGGGGGGTATATAGGAGTCACTCGGTGGTCGGTCGGTCGGTCGGTCGGTTGGTCGGTCGGGCGGTCGGTCGGTCGGTCGGTCGGTCCAGACGTCCGTTGCATTTTCCTTGTCCGGAGCATAACTTGAAAACTAATAGTTGGAATTCAATATAACTACATACAATGGTCAAGCACATTGAGAGGAAGTGCAGTGCACAAGAACCATAACTCTATCTTGACTAATTACAGAGTTATTGCCCTTTGTTACTTTTCCTTGTCCGGGGCATAACTTGAAAACTACTGGTTGGAATTCAAAACAACTTCATACAATTGTCAAACACAATAAGGGGAAGTGCAGTGCACAAGAACCATAACTCTATCTAAAGTAATTACAGAGTTATTGCCCTTTGTTGTTTTTCCATTGCTTTTTTTTTGTCCGTAGCATTTTCCTTGTCCGGAGCATAACTTGAAGACTAATTGTTGGAATTCAATATAACTACATACAATGGTCAAGCACATTGAGAGGAAGTGCAGTGCGTAAGAAACATAACTCTATCTTGACTAATTATAGAGTTATTGCCCTTTGTTACTTTTCCTTGTCCGTGGCATAACTTGAAAACTACTGGTTGGAATTCAAAACAACTTCATACAATTGTCAAACACAATAAGGGAAGTGCAGTGCACAAGAACCATAACTCTATCCAAAGTAATTACAGAGTTATTGCCCTTTGTTGCTTTTCCATTGCCTTCTTTTTTTGTCCGGACCATAACTTGAAGACTAATGGTTGGAATTCAATATAACTACATACAATGGTCAAGCACATTGAGAGGAAGTGCAGTGCATAAGAACCATAACTCTATCTAAAGTAATTAAAGAGTTATTGCCCTTTATTACTTTTCCATTGCTTTCTTTTGTCCGTACCATAACTTGAAGACTAATTGTTGGAATTCATTTTAACTTCATACAATGGTCCAGCACATTGAGAGGAAGTGCAGTGCACAAGAACCATAACTCCATCTTGATTTATTACAGAGTTACTGCCCTTTGTTTCTTTTCCTTGTCCAGAGCATAACTTTAAAACTACTGGTTGGAATTCAAAACAACTTCATACAATGGTCAAGCACAATAAGGGGAAGTGCAGTGCACAAGAACCATAACTCCATCTTGACTAATTACAGAGTTATTGCCCTTTGTTTCTTTTCCATTGCTTTCTTTTGTCCGGACCATAACTTGAAGACTTATTGTTGGAATTCATTATAACTTCATACAATGGTCACGCACATTGAGAGGAAGTGCTGTGCATATGAACCATAACTCCATCTTGACTTATTACAGAGTTACTGCCCTTTGTTACTTTTCCTTGTCCACAGCATGACTTGAAAACTACTGGTTGGAATTCAAAACAACTTCATACAATGGTCAAGCACAATAAGGGGAAGTGCAGCTCACAAGAACCATAACTCCATCTTGACTAATTACAGAGTTATTGCCCTTTGTTACTTTTCCTTGTCCAGAGCATAACTTGAAAACTACTGTTTGGAATTCAGTACAACTTCATACAGTTGTCAAGGACATTAAAAGGAAGTGCAGTGCACAAGAGCCATAACTCCATTTTGACAAAATACAGAGTTACTGCCCTTTGATACTTTTCCTTGTCCGGTGCATAACTTAAAACATACTGGTTGGAATTCAAAACAACTTCATACAATGGTCAAGCACAATAAGAGGAAGTGCAGTGCACAAGAACTATTACTCTATCTTCAGTATTTATAGAGTTATTGCCCTTTGTTCTTTTTCTTTGTCTTTCTGGACTTATTACAGAGTAATTCAATTAAACTTCATCAATGGCCAACCACATTCAAAGGAAATGCAACATATATGAACAACAATTATCTTTAATTTCCCACAACCATAACTCTATGTTTCAATTCTTTTAAAAGGTATTCTGTTACTAGTAACATCCTCATTTCCGAAGCAGACTTGTGGGGGTATTAATCACATTTAGTGATAGTTCTAGTTTTTATGAAAATTTTAAAAATGTATTTGAAAGTAAGATATTGTGAAGTAAACAAAGAAAGTAATTTACATGTTGCAAACGGCACTTATAATCCATGTATTAATTACCAAAAAGAGGTCAAAATGTGCAAAAATCCCCCTAACAGAACAGAAACTGTTTACTCTTTACCATCTGGCTCTTTACTGTTAGCAGTTCAGTATTGCTATTTTAATATTGAGATCCCTTAAACATTGAATGGACTGTTCCAGTTTCAATGTTGGGCAAATCCATTATGTAAATTCAGCAGGTGCAAGGTCAAACGACTAATGAGCCATTCCAGATTTAAAATCAGACATGTTTGTCACATAATTTAAACAGGATAAAAATTTAGATAATAAGTGAATTATAATTTTATTTTTTAAGACATACAACATAGATTGAAAAGTTTCTTTACTGAGATTTTCACATGACATGTTATGGTCAGTCCTTAATTTAAAATTTTGGCTTGCAAAGTCAGACCAATATTTGTCTGCTAGGATTTGCTTATGCTATAGTTGACTGTTAAATCATGCTCTATTGTTGTAATGAAATTCTATATTTGGATATGATAGGTTCAGGGATAAATTGTTTAAGCTAAGCTAAAAAGCAGGAGTCAAGCACTCTCAAATACAAAAAGTTTTAAAGAATTTCAGCAATATTATTTGCATTTTTACTTTGCAAAAATACACAATTCATGAATTTTAAAACACACAAAAATGTCCCTTGGTGGCAAACCACGAAATTTTATGCCCACAAAATGAGTTCACAATAAGTAGTCGTTGATTTGTGGGCGTTGTTTTTGACACAATATCATTCCTATTATCATTCTACACCAATGAACTGGTCTATATACATATCTCCAGTATTTATATATAATAAAAGTCAGTGATTTTGTATGTTTGTTAAGTCATATTTATTCACTTGTATTATTATTTTTTCTCCACTGTTACTTAAACACTGTCTTATTTCATTAAATCCCTCTTGAATTCCACATTAATATAATACGTACATTGTTTTACTATAAGCTATATTTTTCTTTGTACTCCGTATAATGTTTTGTAGTTGTGAGTAGGGCTGTAAAAATTATGAAAAGAATGCACTTATTTTTTGAGGAGCTGTAACATGGATAATGTCATATGTGACAATATTTTTCTTGTAATCGGAATGATTGAAATCACTACCAGTACTTTTATAGAGTTAGAGATTGAATACTGGAGTCAATGCACCTTTTATTATCTCTCTATTGTCAACTATTTATTTTTGTTTTCATTCTCCCCTATCTAGGATTTTTTAATTCAATTTCTTCATTTTAATTTTTGTAAAGTGACTTTATGCTTATTATTGTGTTGTCAGTTGAATAAGGTTGTATATACTTCAAAAGATTGACTGTTATTGCTCATAATATATGATTAGGCAATATATTTATATATATAAAAAACTGCTAAAAGTATAAAAGACTTCCCTACTCTTTATATTCATTCAATTTTACTTGTGAATTACATGTGATATCTAAACAAGTTTCAATTGGTCAAATGAGTTATTAATTATTTTCATGGAGCAAAATATAAAGTTGGAAACATATATGGCAAAATTTTATGTTATTTTGACTTCTGTCGGTATACTCAAAATTAACACTTGGATAGGCTTAATGTCACATTACATACATGTTTATAACAGCATTATAGAACCTGGCCAGCTTGTATATCTATATATAGATTTGCCAGTCTCTCTACTCTTTACTCATAGATTTATTTATTTTGATACCATACTTCCTCACATATATACAATATACAGTTTCAAATTCATAAATTAGACAAGTCTATTATCTGTGTTTTAATCATAGTAAAGGGTAAATTGTTCACCCTTTCCAGTAATATTAGTTTCTTACATTAGTACATAAGTCATTTATTTATGTTTGTTATATGTTTAGTAAAGTGTTTCTATTTATGGCCTAAATATATACTGGTTTGGGAGATAAACTCGGCCGAAAATCAGAGTTTTGGGGGCATATTTCATTTATTTGTTTACGTATTCTGATGAATCTTGCACCATAATAAACTTCAGCTCTTCGATTTTCCGGTATCACCATAAAAGTTATATTTGGAAACATAACGGGTAATTTTGAGAGGCCCTGGAAGACGTACGTAAAAAGGATATTTTAAACGCACGCGAGTAGATAATTCCGGCTCTTTGTTTTTCTTCTTAAATGAGTAATTTAAAACATAAAATAACATGTTTAGACATTTTATTATTTCTTTGCTGTTCATTTATGTCAAATAAAAAATATTTGTTACCAAAATTGTTTGAGCATTACGTTAATATAATGAATATCTATGATAACACGATATTTATATGCAACATACTATGTAACATATAAATCATTTTTACGTAAAAACACATGCATTCTCATTTATTAACATATAACGAAATATGTAGTTAAAGAATTAGTGATTCAAATTTATTTTTGCTCAGCTTAACAGAGTGAAGAAGAAATTAATTTAGTGGTATTCAACCTACAC